AAAAAAATTGAAACAATATTTTCAGAGCAATGTGTTACTGACCAAAAGTTGGGCAAATTTTGAGAATGACCCATGTATCATTCCCAGTTGCTGTCACCATTTAGCCATTGTAGCTGTTGTAGCCATCAGTGCCACATTCCATGGTGCTGTAGCTTTCAACTATATGCCACATTCCATAGTGTTGTAGCCACCAACTATGTGCCACATTCCATAGTGTTGTAGCCACCAGTGCCACATTCCATAGTGTTGTAGCCATCAACTATGTGTCACATTCCATAGTGTTGTAACCACCAACTATGTGCCACATTCCATGGTGTTGTAGCCATCAACTATATGCCACATTCCAAAGTGTTCTAGCCATCAACTATTTGCCACATTCCATAATGTTTTAGACATCAACTGTGTGCCACATGTTATGGTGTTGTAGCCATCATCTATGTGCCACATTCCATTGTGTTGTAGCCATCAACTGTGTGTCACATTCCATTGTCTTAAAGACATCAACTGTGTGCCACATTTTATGGTGTTGTAGCCATCAACTACGTGCCACATTCCATGGTGTTGTAGCCATCAGCTATGTGCCACATTTCATTGTGTTGTAGCCATCATTGCCACATTCCATGGTGCTGTAGCTTTCAACTATGTGCCAAATACCATGGTGTTGTAGCCATCAACTATGTGCCACATTCCATAGTGTTATAGCAATCAACTATGTGCCACATTCCATTGTGTTATAGCCATCAATTATGTGCCACATTTTATAGTGTTATAGCCATCAATTATGTGTCCCATTCCATTGCGTTATAGCCATCAACTATGTGCCACATTCCATAGTGTTATAGCCATCAGTGCCACATTCCATTGTGTTATAGCCATCAATTATGTGTCCCATTCCATAGTGTTGTAGCCATCAGTTCCATATTCCATTGTGTTATAGCCATGAACTGTGTGCCACATTCCATTGTGTTATAGCCATCAACTATGTACCACATTCCATAGTGTTATAGCCATCAATTATGTGCCACATTCCATAGTGTTATAGCCATCAATTATGTGCCACATTCCATTGTGTTATAGCCATCAACTATGTGCCACATTCCATAGTGTTATAGCCATCAATTATGTGTCCCATTCCATAGTGTTGTAGCCATCAGTGCCACATTCCATTGTGTTATAGCCATCAACTATGTGCCAGATTCCATTGTGTTATGGCCATCAACTATGTGCCAGATTCCATAGTGTTACAGCCATCAACTATGTGCCACATTCCACAGTAATGTAGCCATCAACTATGTGCCACATTTTATTGTGTTGTAGCCATCAGCTCTGTGCCACATTCGATTGTGTTGTAGCCATCAGTGCCACATTCCATTGTGTTTGGCCATCAGTGCCACATTCGATTGTGTTGTAACCATCAGTGCCACATTCCATTGTGTTATAGCCATCAGTGCCACCTTCCATTGTGTTATAGCCATCAACTATGTGCCACATTCTATTGTGTTATAGCTTTCAGCCATGTGCCCCATTCCACAGTGTTGTAGCCATCAACTATTTGCCACATTTTATTGTGTTGTAGCCATCAGCTATGTGCCACATTGCATGGTTTTGTAGCCAGCAGCTATGTGCCACATCCCATGGTGTTGTAGCCATCAGTGCCACATTCCATAGTTTTGGCAACGTGCTTCCCTCGCATCGGTTAGCAAAGCATTTTTAATATCGCCATGATCAAAGGTAGACACCCATTTCCTCACAGAGTTTTGCTCTCAGATTTTCAACCTCATATTTAATAATTACTCAAGTACAATACATTTAATTCAACATTTTAAGCGCAACGTGTGGCATGTCAAATCGTTCTTCGCCTCCATTACCCCTGCCAGCGTCCGGTTCAACGGAGTGAAGGAACAGGGGACTTAAATTTAAATCTGCTTTCATTTACCCGTCACGCCAGAAATGTTTTTTGAAGAATAAGTATTACGAAAATTCTAACAATAAGTACGGCATATGAGACAAATAATCCCCAACAGTTTAACGGTAAAATTATGCAATAAGATATTTGTGTTTAATTTCTGCTTATTCTTGTCCCTTCACTCCGTTGAACTGGAAGCTGGCAGGGGAAATAGAGGCGAAGAATGATTTGACATCCCACAATTTGCGCTTAAAATGTTGAATTCAATACACTGTACGTGAGTAATTATTAAATATTAGGTTGTAAATCTGTAAATCATGTGAGCATAATATAAAAGACGAAAATGGGGGTGTCCTTAAAACCAGCCTCCGTCTAAGTATAAATCAAGCAATCGAAATCTGTGACTGTGGATTATGACAGGAAGTCATCCAATACTATACTGAACATATTTTATATGATATTATCTGAGGGCATACCGTTATCCAGGAGGTAACAAATGACAGATCGTTTTTCACTTTCTGCAATTTGTATAGAAATAGTATACCCCAATGTGTTGAGATGACTAATATCTCGTTAACCACATCACCCACATATGTGAAAGATTCCTTCAAAACAAAATGGAAGCTCTTCAAACATTGGACAAGGAGAATATATTTAGGCCGAATACCTTTTGACCGACCTTCGTATTCCTTAAGGTTTTAATCGACCGACTTACACATATATACTAATTGATTGTCACTGTCGTATCTGTCATATTCCTTAGCGTTTAATCAGCCGACATTACAAGACTAAGTATATATCCTGTCATATTTATGAATTTCATAGAGCCCGACGACCTATCCCACGTCCGTTGTTATCCCACAGAGCACAAGCATCACGACCAGCTGGTCTGTCCAACTCGACATCACACGTCCGTTGTTATCCTACAGAGCACAAGCATCACGACCAGCTTGGTGTCCATCTAACTCGACATCATACGTCCGTTGTTATCCCACAGAGCACACGTATCACGACCAGCTTGGTGTCCAACTCGACATCACACGTCCGTTGTTATCCTAAAGAGCACAAGCATCACGACCAGCTGGGTGTCCAACTCGACATCACACGTCCGTTGTTATCCTACAGAGCACAAGCATCACGACCAGCTTGGTGTCCATCTAACTCGACATCACACGTCCGTTGTTATCCCACAGAGCACAAGTATCACGACCAGCTTGGTGTCCATCTAACTCGACATCATACGTCCGTTGTTATCCTACAGAGCACAAGCATCACGACCAGCTTGGTGTCCAACTCGACATCACACGTCCGTTGTTATCCTACAGAGCACAAGCATCACGACCAGCTTGGTGTCCATCTAACTCGACATCACACGTCCGTTGTTATCCCACAGAGCACAAGCATCACGACCAGCTTGGTGTCCATCTAACTCGACATCATACGTCCGTTGTTATCCCACAGAGTACAAGCATCACGACCAGCTTGGTGTCCATCTAACTCGACATCACACGTCCGTTGTTATCCCACAGAGTACAAGCATCACGACCAGCTTGGTGTCCATCCAGCTCGACATCACACGTCCGTTGTTATCCCACAGAGTACAAGCATCACGACCAGCTTGGTGTCCATCCAGCTCGACATCACACGTCCGTTGTTATCCCACAGAGCACAAGCATCACGACCAGCTTGGTGTCCAACTCGATATCACACGTCTTGAAGAAGGGTTCACTGGTCGGATTGCATTTGATTTCTTTGGTTGCTGACTGATGACCTGGGTTCATTGATGATGTGTGGGTGCCTCTCCTAGTGACGACCAGACAAACTCTACATGGGTAACGGTACATCACTGACATCCTCGACTGGGTTGTTTCACATGTCGATGACCATCCTGTGAACACAAAGCTATTCTTCCTGGACGACAACGCTAGGCCATATCGTGCGATTGCCGTTGTTGATTTTTTTACGTCATAAATCATCAGCAATTCTGCATTAACCCACCAGGAGTCCAGATCCTAATCCCATTGAGTATACTTAGGCTATGATAGGTCGCAGAATACACCAGATCAATCACCAAGAACAAAATCCCCATGTACTTAAACAGGAATGGCACAATAAGTCAAATTCAACGTCGGCTACAATCAAAGAGGCGGAGGACCAGGGATGCTGCTTCAGTTGGCGGAGGTTACCCCACTTTGTCATTGTGCTTGGGTATTTTCATACCTATGTGATTTCCTGGGGATGTTATGCCATGATTCATTGTGCTCGGGTATTTTCATACCTATATGATTTCCTGGGGATGGTATGCCATAATCTTGAACATGACCGCACGTGATAACGTCATACCACCATAGTTTTCAATACTTCAAGATGAGTAAATTTTTTGGCCATGTGTGTTTTTTCTGAATAAACTAGTTTTTCGTTCTTTTTTGCATTTCAAGTTGCCATTGTTCATTGAGGGTCAGTATATTTACATAGAAATTTAAATACGGGTTTTCCAAAGTTCCTTTCTATAGCTTATGGTAACACATTGATGCTATAAACACATGGGGCGTAGAGATCAACTTTTCAACGTGTACATTTATTGCAGTGATATTTCACAGATACTGCACTGATGCATCACATTCCATTGTACAGATACTGCACTGATGCATCACATCCCATTGTATACATACTGTAGTGATGCATCACATCCCAATCTACACATACCGCACTGATGCATCACATCCCATTGTACATATTCTGCACTGATGGATCACATCACAATCTACACATACTGCAGTCATGCATCACATCCTATTTTACAGATACTGCACTGATGCATCACATTCCATTGTTCAGATACTGCACTGATGCATCACATCCCATTGTACAGATACTGCACTGATGCATCCCATCCCATTGTACAGATACTGCACTGATGCATCCCATCCCATTGTACAGATACTGCACTGATGCATCCCATCCTATTGTACACATACTGTAGTGATGCATCACATCCCATTGTACACATACTGTAGTGATGCATCACAGTGATCTATCACATTCCATTGTGCATAAATAGTTGTGATACCCGTGTCTCCTGCCGATGTTCCAGCTGTGTGGGCGGTGGCCCAAGAAGAAGGTCCTCTTCGCCCTGTTGTTGGTGTGTGCCGTATCACCGGTCCTCAGGCTCATCAAAAGCAAAAACGTGATTATCTCAGGACGGAATATTGTATTCCTGGAGGAAATGCCTGATTTTGGAGAAGTAACCTTCCAGAGAACGACAAATGGTTCAGAAAAATACCTTTGTCCAAAGACACCGCCTCATCTGGGTTAGTACAATTCTATCTCTTGTTAATCAGCGTTTGGCTAAACTTCTATCAGAGTTAACATGACTATCTTATGAATCCTTTTTCTAAGCTAATATATTACTCCTCTAATTCATAAGAAATCTCTGTCAAAAGCAGAGTGGATTGTTGTTTGTAAACAATTTGGGTCTGAACCAGACAATCCAGTGATTGTCACCATGCAATGCGGTGACAGAGCATGTGTTTCAATATGAAATAGTAATGACACCAGATGTTCGCGAAAGGGTGAGCGTATCCTACCCCACCGGTGACACCCGCCAGACACATATGGTAGGTCTAGTCATTTGTTCACCTCAAATAATTCGGGAACGTATGGTATAAACCAAAATAGGGAACTGAATTCGACATCCTTTTTTGTCACTGATGCATCACATTGGGAAATCTCCTCCATATGTCTACCATAAAACTTTATTGAAGCCTTGAATGCTGTAGCCTTGATTAAACAACTTCGGAGCAAGAGTGACATGACGCTCTTTGAAATCCTGATGAAAAGAGCACGCTCGATTGTACCTAAAAAGCTGTGAAATGTAAACACAAGATTCTGGAGCTGTTGGAATATTGCTCTACATGAGAGGGAAGTAGACTTTTGGAAAGTTGAGAAATCCTCTTTTGTCATACAACCGTGTGGAGATTTGTCACTCTGAATCTTTATGCATAGATCGAAATATGAAACAGACAGTTGAGGAGGTCTCACTCACTTGTCTCCATAATTTCAAGTTCAGGTGAGCAAATCAGTGGAGGGCAATTGGCTATTTGATGGTTATTGAACGATGTTAATTAAATCATGGATGTACCGGAAGCCTAAGATAAACGTCTTGACCAAATTACCTTGTTTTGATTTTGCCAGCCCAATCAGAAATTCTGATTAATATGCATAAAGAAACAGATCTGTGAGGTGGGGAACACAATGGTGCCATGGGGATGCCTACTTCTTGGCGAAATGGTTTAAAGTGGAAGCTACTGTATATGGTAGTTTTCAGATTCACTGTAGAGTATCCTAGTAGGAAATATGCCATTCCTGACATTTGTATGATATACTACAACGTCAAACTGTTATGTATATATTTGCAAGTGGAATACATTTTGACTTTGTTTGGTAGATACTGTCGGGGAAAGACAACCAATGAAACAACTCAAAATTGCCATCGCCCAAAATGATATTTATTTCAACTTCATCTGCGTCAGTAAGACATATTGGCCCCAGGCCGGGTCTGGCAGTTACTTGTGCTACGATAGCATCTTTGTTTGCTCCATCACACATACAACATGCCTTACCTCATTCACAGATAAATTGTAAGTCTTTGAATGGCATTCAGAAGTGATGCATACAAAGAGGAAAATTTATGGATGTCAACTTTTGCATTTAGAGAAGCACAACGTTTCGGAATACATTCTTTCTAATTGATGCATAAAACCTAGGAAGCAGATAGCTACATGAGAACAACAGGTGATTATAAAGGCGGACACTTACCGAGGGAAGCCAGTGATTGTTAAAATATGTATTAATATTACACGTTTGTGTCTGTGACATCAAACTTAGCTACATAGGCATTGCTATAAAACGTTGTTGTTTGAATGTATCTATGTCGGATTTATCTGCCTCATATCATTGCCAGATATGTGACATTCGCACCACACATTGATGTCTTACACATCGAGCATTCTTATCCAGTGCATTGAATGAGGCTGGTATACAGTTAAACCCATTGGTGGAGGCTGGTATACAGTTAAACCCATTGATTGAGGCTGGTATACAGTTAAACCCACTGATGGAGGCTGGTATACAGTTAAACCCACTAATGGAGGCTGGTATACAGTTAAACCCATTGATGGAGGCTGGTATACAGTTAAACCCACTGATGGAGGCTGGTATACAGTTAAACCCATTGATGGAGGCTGGTATACAGTTTAACCCATTGATGGAGGCTGGCATACAGTTAAACCAACCGATGGATGCTGGTATACAGTTAAACCCATTGATGGAGGCTGGTATACAGTTAAACCCATTGATGGAGGCTGGTATACAGTTAAACCCATTGATGGAGGCTGGTATACAGTTAAACCCATTGATGGAGGCTGGTATACAGTTAAAACCATTGATGGCGCCTGGTATACAGTTAAACCCATTGATGGAGGCTGGTATACAGTTAAACCCACTGATGGAGGCTGGTATACAGTTAAACCCATTGATGGAGGCTGGTATAGAGTTAATTTGGTAGAGGCTGGTATACAGTTTATCCCATTGATGGAGCCTGGTATAGAGTTAATTTGGTGGAGGCTGGTATATAGTTTAACCCATTGGTGGAGGCTGGTATACAGTTAAACCAACCGATGGATGCTGGTATACAGTTAAACCCATTGATGGAGGCTGGTATACAGTTAAACCCATTGATTGAGGCTGGTATACAGTTAAACCCATTGATTGAGGCCAGTTAAATGATGGAGGCTGGTATACAGTTAAACCCATTGATGGAGGCTGGTATACAGTTAAACCCACTGATGGAGGCTGGCATACAGTTGGATGGCTGCTGGTATACAGTTAAACCCATTGATGGAGGCTGGTATACAGTTAAACCCATTGATTGAGGCTGGTATACAGTTAAACCCATTGATGGAGGCTGGTATACAGTTAAACCCATTGATGGAGGCTGGTATACAGTTAAAACCATTGATGGCGGCTGGTATACAGTTAAACCCATTGATGGAGGCTGGTATACAGTTAAACCCACTGATGGAGGCTGGTATACAGTTAAACCCACTGATGGAGGCTGGTATACAGTTAAACCCATTGATGGAGGCTGGTATAGAGTTAATTTGGTAGAGGTTGGTATACAGTTTATCCCATTGATGGAGCCTGGTATAGAGTTAATTTGGTGGAGGCTGGTATATAGTTTAACCCATTGGTGGAGGCTGGTATACAGTTAAACCCATTGATAGAGGCTGGTATACAGTTAAACCCATTGATGACGATACAGCCGCCTGCTTTCAGTTGGCGTTTCTCCTATCAACGAGAGTCTGGTCACCCTGGAAGGTCTCATCAGGAAATATATCCCACATCAACCGGGTGGTCACTTTAAGCCCAGGGAGTGTATGTCCCGAACTAAGACGGCTGTCATTCTGGCCTACAGGAACAGACGGCGCCACCTGGTGGTTCTACTCAATCATCTCATCCCCTTTCCTAGTCCGTCAGCAGGCAGAGTTCGCTCTTTTTGTTATAGAACCGGTGAGTCTAACATCATCGGTGAGGTCTGCACCATGATTGTTGTTGCAGAATGGGTGAGATTTCGACAAGGACATTAAAACTCATGACATTAATTGGTTAAAGTTCGTGAGAGGTCCGTACTAGCATTTGAACTGTTGGCCTTTCATCATGACATTTGTCACATGTGGTTGTGAAAGTAAACTTGAATCAGGACACGTGGCACGCGTGGTTGTAAAGGTGAACCATAGCGTCTAAGTGGTACTGAGAAGCAAACCATTTGATATCACTTCATAGCACAGGCCCTCGTGTCTTTGCGGGGATTAGAGATTTTAACAAAAATATAAGCTGGTTAAACTATTATGTCATAATGTATTATACTGTGAAGCATTTCGAGTCGGGGGTCATCTCAAAATTTATATATCTTTCTTAAACTCTTTTACCTTGCAAAGACACGAAGGCCTGTGCTTCATAGCCCCACAATACAAGCATTCAAAAGCTTTGAAATTGACTCATAATCCGTATTTCTCAGTCCGCAATTTAGATTTTGGAAACAACTCAACAATCACATACTAGTCACGTGATTACACAAAACCCTCTTTGGATTCTCAGTATGTTCTGATTCGAAACTATTATATTATTATAGTATATTTATATAGCGCAAATATCCACGCAACTGGTGCATGCTCAAGGCGCTGGTATTTTTTCCCTTAACATTGGATGTCAATCTCAACGGCACATCGTATTATCAATCTCAATTCCCTGGGGATCATACAACTCTTGCTGCCACTAGGCGCACCGAGTTATTGTGGCATTCTCATCCTTACGAGGTACCCACTTACCGCTGGGTGGACTCGGACACATACTTACGGTACTTTGTCCAAGTTCACTGCAAGTTGCTGTACCCGCAACTAGGTGTTTGCACGTATTTATGTGGCCACCATCTGGTCATATACCAACGGATTCGTGGCTTCTTTTAGTGCACATGGTTGTGTACTGTACACTAGGGGTTGTGACAACACTGAAAGGGTCTGCACACAAAGTTGACTCCAAGGTTTTTACACCCGGTCACAGGTGGGCTCGATCCCGGCACCTGAACCTCGCTGGATCGCCCACCGCGCCCCCGGTGTTACTGTTGATTCCTTCTTATTCAATCCTAACTAAATAACAAACAAGTGACACCTTCAACTCAATTAGCCCTAATTAGTTTACACTACCGCATCCCTTTTGTTCAAGCCGCACCGTGTGTAAACAACCTCGGTTCAGCGGGATACTTGCCCATGAAAGGTAGGTGAATATCAAGTTTCTTTGCAAATATTGAGTTAAAAGGGTAATTTTGCTTGTTGAGACCGAGTTAAAAGAGCTTGAATAATGATAAATTATGAAGGATTTTGCCTGGACCGAGATGTTATATCGAGACAACCGAGATATCGAGTTATCAGAGTTCGACACAACGGTGCTCGACTGTAATACCTAACTTCTTTAAGTGGCATTTAGAAGTTGAGGTAATGAACAAAGGAGGTATATCTATGGATAAACAACTTCTTTATTGAAGCCCACCCATGCAGCCCAGCACCTTCATCACACAACCCAGACGAGAGGAATACTAGCCACCCTAGGTTAGAGTCCCGAGGTGGGCACATTTGCCTAATATCGTTGGACATGATACTTAGTTCCCCTTGTCTCAGTTCATCCAGCTGTAAAATGGGTACCCGTGAGGATGTGCTGGCAATGAGAGTGTTAAGTTTATTGCGCCTAACAGGCAGCATGGCTGTATGGTCCCCAGGGAGTTGAAAAAATATCGGAAAGTAGGATAGTACGATAGTGTCCTATGAACGGGAATAGTAATGTACGTAGCGCCGTGAGCAGGCAATCTGCCTGGATATGAGCGCCATATAAGCGGACTATTACTGTTACACCCTAGTTCCACTATAACACCTGCGCCAAGTCTTCAAGACCGCCACCCTCAACACTTGCAAACTACTACTACTACTACTACTACTACTACTACTACTACTACTACTACTACTACCACTACTACTACTACTACCACCACTACCACTACTAAGCCCCTACTGCTACTAGGAGAGTAGATTGGCATATATATAAGCCCACTGAGCTTGTTTGCCAATCCCTTTTCTTTCTCTTCAAATAAAATATGTTTAAAACAATTACATAACACCAAACTTCAGTAAAGAACAAAGACTCTACCTCAACCATCTCTGATCACATCCAAGTACACCCACAACATGCTTTGGAAAGAATGAACCGTTCCCACCATTGGCATCCTGCTCGTCATGCTGTTGCCTTACCTCGGATTATCTCATGTATAATTATGTGTGTTTCCATTGTTAATCATCTTGTTTATCACCCATTGTCTTTGTTAGCCCTCATGTACCCTGTATATACCCTGCTGTAACCATTCACTACCCCATGCTTGAAAACGGTATAAGTATCTATACCAAAACGTCGCTATTGTACAGTAAAGAAGTTGATCATCCATAAAGACGTGTAATTGCTATTGCTTACAACTTCTAGAATGTCTCTCAAACAGCTCTTAACCTTATCAGCCTGTACGTCTTCTGTATAAACCCAACTTTACTAATGTGTATATTTACTTTACCAGCATTACTGTACATCACTTGCTTATTAACGGTGTTAACATCTACACCTATACGTCGCTTGTATTGTAATAAAGAAGTTGTATATCCACCTCCCGTGTTCATATATAATGGATGTCTCATGGTTCTCAGATAATGGTATATTGTTGTAAAGACCAACCAATTAGAATATAAAGTTCAACGCTGCCACGTTGTGTGGTACTTGTTTTTATACCCATGAATCTGGATATTCTGCTCACTTGTAGCTGCCCTATATCTGTCATAAGTTATGGATGTATATACTTGTTCCAAAATACGCATACCATATTCGACTGTAACTGTTCCATGGACTTGAAAGTATCGATTTATTGCATCTCATAGGTAAGCATGTGCTATTTTGTTATAGCTGCCCAGCGTAACGTTCAACAGGGCCCTTCTGATGAACATCGGCTTTGTGGAGGCTCTCAAGACGAACAACTTCACCTGCTTTATCTTCCACGATGTGGATCTCTTGCCGGTGACGGATCACAATCTCTACCGATGTGGTGCCACGCCCAGACACATGGCTGTGTCCAACAGCAAACTTGACAAGTAGGTTTTCACCTCAGCCACTCCTAACCCTAGATGATTGGTACCACGTCCAGGCACATGGCTGTGTCCAACAGCAAACTTGACAAGTAGGTTTACACCTCAGCCGCTCCTAACCCTGTGTCAAACTGTATGCTTTCTCCCACAACTTACCCTAGATTTGTGATGCCCTGCCCCGACACATTGGTGTGTCAAAATTGCTGGAATAAACATTGCAATTCCCTTGTATAAAAGAATATAGAAGCGCTATTTGTTATCGCATAGATTAAACTGGGAAAGACCCAGCTATTGGGTTTATATCCATGCTAGCATCTACCTTGTACGATATGTCGACCCAGGCTCTCAGTATACAACAGTCAACAACGTTCGACCACTACCGCTGAATTCCTTAAATTCTTTTGGACTGATATAAATAAATACTTCTTCAGATCTTTAAATATGTGTTATTTGAAAGGAGAATTATCTATTTCGCTAAAACGTGGACTTATAACGTGTATACCTAAAGGTAACAAATCAAAATTGCTGGAGACCTATCTCCCTTTTGTCTGTTTTCTACAAGCTGGCTTCGATGGCAATATCTAAAAGGATAAAGTCAGTTCTTGGTCAATTGATAAATGATGATCAAAAAGGTTTCATGTCAGGCAGATATAGCGGGGAAATTACAAGACTTATTTACGACCTAATGGAATATACAGAAAAAAAAACGGTCTTCTATTACTTATTGATTTTGAAAAAGCTTTCGATACGGTAGATTGGTCGTTTATTGACAAAACATTATCCTATTTCAACTTTGGTGAATCAGTTCGAAGATGGTTCAGAATTCTATATCAAGGAATTGAATCAAATGTTCTTGTTCATGGTTATGGAACGGATATGTTTGATATTCAAAGAGGTTGTCGCCAAGGGGATCCACTCTCCCCCTATATCTTTATCTTATGTGCGGAAATATTAGCAATAATGATACGAAACAATAAAAATATCATGGGTATTTCAATTGGAAGCATTGAATACTTACTCAATCAATTCGCTGACGACACAACATGCACCCTGGATGGTTCAGAGCGTTTTCTCTATGCAGTATTCAATGTGCTTAGTTTCTTCGCCAGATTTTCAGGTTTAAAGGTTAACATCGACAAAACACTTCTCACTTGGATAGGATCAAAGAAAAGATCGAAAATGAAACTATGTTCGGAGCTAAATCTTAATTGGGACCAGGGTGACTTAAGTCTTCTTGGAATTACATTTACTCAAGACTTAGACGAGATGGTAGAGATAAATTACAAAGAAAAAATACGACGTTGTGAAACGTGTCCACAATGTCCATATGGTCCGTAATCTTACTCCCTTTGGAAGAAATATTGTCTTAAAATCTTTGATCATCCCAAAGTTAAATCATTTATTCAGTGTACTTCCTGACCCAGATAATGAAACTACAAATAAATTTCAACAGAAATGTTTTAAATTTATGTGGAACAATAAACCTGATAAAATTAAGAGGAGCCAAATTATCTGTGACAAACAAGATGGAGGCTTCAACATGCCAAATATAAAGACATTAATGCATGCTCAGAAACTATCAATGGTCAGAAGGTTTTTCAGATTTAAGTCCAGTTGGTGCTATCTATTTATTTCAAATCTCCCAAAGTTTGGCGCTGGTTATGTATTCGATTATAACTGCCAATATCTGTCAGAAGAATGTCTCCCACTGATCCACAATAAATATTATAGGGATGTTTTATGTGCCTGGTGGCAATTTATATCTCGCAATAAACCTGACTATGACGTAAATGACATACTTGCCGAAAATATCTGGTACAACAAAAACATATGTGTAGGATGTAAACCAATTTTTTACAAACAATGGAATGATAAAGCAATTCGGTGTATCAACGATTTACTTGACTTAACTGATAACATATACTGCTTTGAAAATTTTGTAAAACACTATCATTTAAAAACTGATTTTATAACATTTACTGGCCTCATTAGATCAGTAAAGTCATATTTGAAAACTCTTAACATAGATTTCAAGACTTTGTCAAAAATACCAAAACCAACTTTACCAGCAAATATACCGAGTCAAAAAAGAAACTTCACAAAATGTAATTTGAATAATAATGAATAATTTTTCTCTGATGATACATCTATGTATCCGAAATTGGATGCCTATCTTTCGACTCTAGAAAAACGTTAGCAAAACCCACTCAAACCCATCCATTCGTCGTGCAAATTACGTTAATGCCAAATCAGGTTTTGCACGTGCAGTCGATCACGTGATCTTCGCATCGAAGTTTGTCTTCATATGCACGTGTTTGCATTGGCCTAAAGAATTGACAAAAACACTTTTAAACCACATTTCTAACGGTACTTGAAATGCCACGATTGTCAAATGTGCAACGTGAACGTGAGAGTTGGCATGTTGCAAGCGGGAAGATCAGTTATTGACGTCGCAAGAGTAATGGGATGCAGCCGTCGTACTGTGTATGACTTGTGAGGTCGTCTACAACAAACTGGCATCACTTCTGATCGCCAAAGGTTGGGTCGTCCACGTGTGACGTCACGAGCAGAAGACCGTCAAATCGTCTTACGTCACCTACGTGACAGATTTCTGCCGGCTACACGAACCAGGGCTGAGATGTTTAGAGGTCGACTCTCCTCACAGACCATTCGAAATCGGTTGCGGGCTGCCAATCTCCATTCTCGACGTCCATATCGTGGGCCAATATTGACGCCGTTTCATCAACGTCAACGTCTGCTGTGGGCCCAATGTCACCTCCGATGGACCCAGAGAGACTGGAATCGAGTCGTCTTTAGCGATGAATCAGATTCGTGGACGGCAGGCATAGAGTCTGGAGACGACGTCGTGAACGGTGCATACCGCGATGTTGACACGAAATTTCCATCAAAACGTTGGAAACAACGTCATGGACTGGCCATCGAGGTCCCGTGACCCAACTCCAATAGAGCACGTTTGGGATGCACTTGGGAGAAGGCTTCGTGGTCTTAGGAACCAACCTCAGAATTTGCAGGAACTTGGCGCTGCCTTGCAAGTGCAATGGCGCAGAATCCCCAACCACGTGTTCACAAGCATCAGGCAGTCGATGAGGAGACGGTGTTTGGCAGTAGTGAATGCGCGGGGCGGCCATACACGATATTGAACTGAGAAATTTCGCATTTTTATTCTTGTGACTTGACATTCTGTATACCCATGTTTTGGAATGGCGGTGTAGCCTAATGGAACTGATTATGGCACTGACAGTGTATCGAGTACATCACACAGATCTCAGCAATGAAGTAATAACAATTTAACCATCTTACCATCTCTTTTATAGTGCCCTGAAGAAAGAATGTGAAGTTTCTTTTTTGACTCAGTATATAAAACAGCTCCTCGGGGATGCAAAGGGGACACAACGGTTTTACAGAACATTGTTGTCAGATGTCATTACAAAAAATGTACATTGCCAAAAATGGGAGCAAAGTATCTTAAACAACGAAGTCTTGTCTGACGACTGGAAAAATTATAACAAAATACCATTTAGATGCACCAATGACAGCAAACTGCAATGGTTCCAATATAGAATATTACATCACATCTTACCGACAAATATAAAGTTATTTAAGATTGGGTATATAAATAATTCAAAATGCAGCTTTTGCCAAAGCGAAATTGAGACACTCGATCACGTGTTCTGGCCTTGCAGTAAAGTCAACCATATCTGGCAAAAACTTGAGATCTGGCTAAATCATAAAGCTCTTGTCAATATCAAAGTATCAAGAAAACAGGTATTGCTCGGTTTCCCAAACAAAAACAGTGACCCTCTCAATATTATTATTATTATCTTTAAAAACCTAATTTTTGGAAGCAGATTAAAAAACAGTGTGCCACCTTTTACATGTTTTCCAGAATGAAATTAGACATTATTATATGATAACAAAGTGCTCTTCTTTAATGGAATGTAATATCAGCGCCTTTTATAAGTTCTGGTCTTCATGTCATGAACTGTTCACATGATTTGTACATCATATGCTTGTTGTATTGTAACCTGAATGTCCTTTGTTGAGTTTTCGGAATACACTGTAAAACATCTTTAAAGAGAATAAAAGTATATAAAAAACAACAACATTCGACCACTCAACATCGTCCGCTGGTTTTCCAGGGAATTACTTCAATAGCATCCGACACATTTCTATAACCACCACGTATAATTACCATCCAGTGTAGCAATTGTGGCTAACACGTTCATGATACACAAGGAGTGAAGGCACTTCACTGTTATCTTTTACTGTTATTAATGACGTTTGATTGATAAATTCGAATCCTCAAATATAACAAACGACCCAAAAGTATTGAAATGTTATTTTTTCACCATTGTTCCCTTCCCCATTTGTACAAAACAAAATGACCTATGACGTTAGAAGGGCTGTATCCAGGTCCTCCTCCTAGCTGCCCAACAGGTTACATATAACTGCTATGCTACGAGTCACTATAACTTCCGGCTTGAGCGTTCTTCATGTGTAGGACTAGATGGATGTCTGACGGAGCCCTATGAGAAGAAAGAGGTGGGTGCACATGGCGTTTAAAGCCTTACTCGTGGATTGTAGCCACGACAGTTATCTCGCTGTGTCCTACCGCAATACGACCTTACTCATTATTTCAAACCGCATTGGAAACAGCATCGTTTGGCCTTTTGGAAGAACGTCCACCATCATGACATCATCAGATTCCCGCCAAAAAGGTCGGGTCGACTTTGCTGTGTTCACATACTTCATAGTGGTTTCAATTCTGGAAATGTTAACCACCCCAGGTTCATTCATTATCACAAATTGTTTGTGACGCCTTTTCTAGATCAAGTGTCAAATAGGGCAAGATTTCACAAGACACGTCCTGTCTGGTGTGGCTGGTTTTTTTCTGTGTTATCGTCCTGTCTGGTGTGGCTGGTTTTTCTGAATGTTCTATCGACAGTGAAATGCCTGTTGAACTGGATCAATGAACTGGTATACAT